TTAAACTACCATCACCCCACTGTATGTCATGTTCCACAACCTCCACAGTACTCATCTCACCTTTTCTCTGCTTTTACGTCTGTCCGTCTCTTTTACATCTGTAAATCACTTCTGTTCCTCACCCCTCGACTTTCTGTTACTTTGATGTTCCTTCCCCCTTTGAAAACCCCTCAACTTTCTGTTACTTTGATGTTCCTTCCCCCTGTGAAGCCCGAAGTCGGCTAAAGGGCTAATGATAACTATCAAAACGCCTACCATTTAATATAAATAAATAAATATGTAAAAATAATAAGTCGTTTGTCATTGTTGAAAGCCAACACAAAATTCAAAAAAATTTAAGCCAAAAAGAGCTCTTTCATTTGCATTTTTATCCTTCAAGAATAGAGAATTACTTTTATAATTAATTTTTTATTCAAATATTGTTAATTAGAGTATGATTCATATATGACTCAAGTTAGAATAGGTATTGGTTTCTTTCGTACTGCTTTAGATTTTTCTCATTTGCCTGATAGATATTAATATTATGATTATTTTGTGAAATTGCTATTTTGTACTCTTTTCATTTTACTAATTGGGTTGCAAAACCTAGCATTAGTTTTGCAAATCATGCTCAATGCATCCCAGCACTTTTCATTTTAATCACAAAAAATAAATATATTCGATCAGCCTTGACAATTTTTTTTAAAAATCGAAGTTTTGCCAAAAAATAGCAGATATTATTACTATTTAACATTTGGATTCATTTATTTTGTTAATATTTTCATGCTCATAAATCTGCTTTCACAATTCTTTCACCAAAATTCTATAGATGTTTTCAAGTTGTTTATACACATACATGCATTAGTATTCATGTTATTATTCTTTTAAAATGTTTTGACGGATGCGTAATAAGTTTTACAGAAACCTTCGTTCTGATTATAAAAGATTGTAATTCGGTTTCTTAAATTATTCCAAAATTCTAAATAATTATGTAAATTCGAGTTAACTTAGTAATTTGGTCCTTTTTTATCGTTTTTTAGCCTTATGTCGTAGGTTGGTAGAGTTAATATGATTGCACGTTCAGAAAGGGCAGGTTAATTGATTACAAGTAGGCTTCAAATATTGCAGAGGAACTAGTTGGAACTAATTAAAAAATTGCATAATTGAATTCATCTTCATTGTTTTCCTTGGAGAAATATATTTTTATAAACATTTCATAATTTCTGAACATGTTGTAAAAGGAACATTTATTCAGATGAAATGGCAGGGGAACAATTTTGAATTGGTGTTAAGGCAAATAAATAAATATTTACCAAGGACTTCGTTTACTTTTTGAAATATACTAAATTAGATTTCGTTTTGTCAGACTTCAAGGGCGAGTTTATTTGCCACATATTTGGTTACTTTGTTGACACATCTTTGCTTAATAGTGTGACTGTCTAACGGTATAAACTGTTCCCTCGTTGGTTTATTTCTACTACCTATAGTTTCAATAGTAAATGATTATTTGATTTTAGGTTCATATTACAGTAAATTTTGGTCAGCATAATCCCCACTTGGCTATCGTCAAATTGACAGAACGAATATGGCTGCTGGTTACATTAATCCAGGGTATATGGTTTACGTATAATCATATATGCCACATTATCTACACGCTTGATAATAATTTAGCACTTTATTCTTCAGTTATACCAAAAGCGAAATTCGATCACTTTATGCTCATCGCTATTCAAAGGCTGTAGCGGATTATGAAGTGCTTTTGAACCATCGAAGGTATGAATCCCTTTCTAAGCTAATACGGAAGAGCAAAAATGCAGGAAATTGTAGATATTGAGTGCCGTTTAATTGATGAAGTTGCAAGCATGCAAGTCAACCCTCAAATACTACATCGAAACAGATTGGTAGCGAAACTGACTGAAGTGCGTAGACTTAAAGAAGCTGAGCTCCGAAAGCTAACAGAAGCTGCCTATAGGTATTTTTAATGAAAATATAAATTCATGCTAAATCTTGTTGTATTTTTTTATTAAGTCAACTTTATGATGTTTCTGGTTCGTTGATTTATAGGCAGTGTGCTACACGTAATCGGGAACTCTACGAGTCAGATCTGAATAGGTTTTATTTTCAAGACTTGAAAGCCCAGATAGAAATGAATAAGCAAATTAAAAAGACAGCGCAATCAATAGAGGATTCAATGCCAAGTGGCAAATCTTTACCCATTGGCTTAGAGGAAGAAGACTGTGCTAAAAAGCTAACGAAGTACCTTACATGATAATTCTTTAAACACTTATTTAGTGAAATGAAAGAGAGGGCAAGGGCGTTCTTATCCGAGAATGAAAAAAGAAAGGCGATGTTGGTGGAAAAGAAATTATCGGAAGCCGAAGAAATGGTACCACGACTGTTTGAAATTACCAGTTTTTACTGTTTATTTAATTAAATGGAGGTAAAAATCGGATATGCCTCACGTAAAACAAAAGAAGTATTACATTTTGAACAATACCTAATTCCTATTAATTTAACTATAATATTTATACATACTTTAGTTAAAAGAACATATCGTCAAAAAAGTTTCTACATCGGCTCATTAAAAAAATCTCTTTCACATTCAGAATGAACAAGTGAAATTATTTGAAAAGGAGAAGCAAGAAGCCCTGATAAAAGCTCGTGAAAATCAAATGAATCTTCGAAATATGTTGGAAAAACAGATGGTAGAGAGGCGAAAAGAGCTCCAAAGACAAAAGGAACAGGAAGATAATGTATCTTCCATGTTGATTGCAAATGACTTGGAGATATATTCAACCCAACAAGCTAGAACTGAACAGAGTAGAGTGAGTTGCGCCACAGCTATTTTTAGTCAAATTTTCATATTTTAATACAACCAATCCCTGATTTACCGAAAAAGTCACTAATTTAAAGTGAATGTCGAATAAAATACTGGCGCTCTTTAGATTATGAAGCCCTGTGCTATAGTGTTTTCTAAGATCACTTAGATCTTGTGAGAGCAACTGAGATCGAGCTAGACAATGCCTATTTGGTAACTATGCATTTGCAAATTTGCGATTTGCCAGAGATGACTGAACCAACCATCGGTCATCATTAATCGATTTGCCCGCGAATATTTGATCAGATATCCGACAAGTCTATGAATTAAGGTTGGTTTCATCATTCCGTAATCTAACATGATCATGACGTAGTAATGACGTTGCGTTCCTAGTACACTTCCGGTTAGACGTCCATAGTTTCCAAGAGCATTTTGCTTAACAGCTTTTCAATTGAATTTGAGTGATATTTATTGACACTTCTCCTTTAATTTGCAGGAAATAAATAATCGAATCCTTATAATTTATGGCATGCATCTTAACTAAAATGCCATATCTTTCAAGCAATAAAAATGAATATTACAAAGCAGAACTAATATCAAGTTACTCTTCATTGCGTTCAAAATCTAATATTGCAATTTTCACCTTTTTTGTTATCAGTGAAGTCTACTGGTTTAAATATTCCGCTGTGACACTAACCAGAGGGGCATATAGCGAATTTTTTTCTAACGATCCTATTAATACTTAAAAACAAAACTCTAAATATCACCCACGTCGCAGTAAATGAGGCTAAAATGCATTTTAAGAGGAATGCGCTATTGTCAACGATGAAGCCAATCGTTTTTATCATATCCTTTCTGATTTAAACGTACAGTTTAACGATCAGAAATTTCCTTCTTCAAATAAGAAATAAATTAATCGATTGAAAAGCCATCATTTGATGCACATTTCTTACCTGAAGACTAGAATATTTCAACCAATTACAGGAGAAAGATTATTGCTTTCATTAGACGCAGTCGTACCAAAGGCTAGACGAGTACCTCCAATATGTTAGACGATTTCAAAAGGATAAAGAAATTACAGACAAATTAAGGGAAGAGGAAATGAAGAAGATTGCTGAACACGTCATGGCTGAAGATCGTAGAAACCGAAGACAACAGAGGGAAGCAAGTCGAGCCCTTGAGAGGGAAGTCAGAGAAACGCAGATCAAACAGATGAAGGACAAAGGTGAGATCTAAGAAAACTTACCAAAATGACGGTGATATATTACTCGTATTTCCGTAGTATGTCCACTTAATTTCGAAGGGGATTAGTAAAATATTTACTGGCGCGTCATAGGCAACTCAAAAATGAGAGATTTGAAAGTACTTACCAACTCAGTGTATCAGGAGGGTAAAGTTATTAAACTCTCAATTTCAAACACTTCATATATACCCCCGAGAGCCTTGAAAGATTGCGGAACTGGGAATCAGGGAGTTAGAAAGAAGACATCTATTCAGTATTGAACTAGTGTCAAACCAGTAAGGGATAAATTGGTAGGAGGAGGAGGAGGCTCAGAAGGGGGATTGACTTAAATGGTGAGATGTCAATCGGAAAATAGGACGAGGGAGACAAATAGGGGGGGGAGGGAGGGGAGTTGGGAGGCTTGACATTTTGGACAATGGAGGTTAATTCGGATCTGGTTAAACTGATAAGGCCCCACAGCAAAAAAATTGTTTGTTAAATATGACCAAAATGCAACTTCTGTTGCAGTTTCTATCCTGGCCAATTATATTTATAAAGTTTTAATTATAAATACTGTTAGGCTAGTGAAAAATAATAAAATAAAATAATAGATAGCGTACGCCAATCACCAAACTTAATTCGGGATGTGTTGCTAAGTCAATTAGAACTTTAGTGAAAAAATATTATTATTATATCAAATGGCAGGCGTCTTGACGGTTATCATTAGCCATTAAGTTGACTTCAGGCTTCGCAGAGAGGAAGGTACACCAAATTGAAAAAAATCGAGAGGGGAGGGGGAGCAGAAGAGTGGTTCACAGGTGTAAAAGCGACAGGCAGACACAATGGTAGAAAAAAGGTGAGGTGGGTACTGTGAAAGTGGTCGAATATGACATACAGTGAGGTCATGGTAGTTTGAAGTGAGAAGTCAACTGCCGGTTGATAGACGTAGTTTGAAGTCAGAAGTCAACTGCCAGTTAATAGACTTCTTTGCCGCTAGTGAGAAGTCAACTGCCGGTTTATAGACTTTTTTGCCGCTTTGAAGTCAGAAGTCAACTGCCGAATAATAGACTTTTTTATTTGGTAGTTTGAAGTGAGAAGTCAACTGCCAGTTAATAGACATTTTTGCCGTATGTGGAGAAGTCAACTACCAGTTAATAGACTTTGCCGTTGAAGTCAGAAGTCAACTGCCGGTTAATAGAATTTTTTTGCCGATAGTGAGAAGTCAACTGCCGGTTTATAGACTTTTTTGCCGCTTTGAAGTCAGAAGTCAACTGCCGAATAATAGACTTTTTTATTGAGTCTTTGGTAGTTTGAAGTGAGAAGTCAACTGCCAGTTAATAGACATTTTTGCCGTATGTGGAGAAGTCAACTACCAGTTAATAGACTTTGCCGTATGAATATACGTTGCCCAGGGTGCACCACGTGGAGGTAAGTCTATTGAAAAACGAATGCCGAGTGATAGAATTTTTGCCGTAAGAAAGTACGTTGCCCAGGGTGCACCACGTGGAGGTAAGTCTATCGTGTTGCCCAGGGTGCACCACGTGGAGGTAAGTCTATCGCATACCCCTAGTGAAAAATATAATACGTTTTGATCGAAAGGAGGGGCATGAATAAATGGAATAGCATAATTTTGGCCACAATTTTCAATATTCACCATTTTTTCCCCAAAAATCATTTTTAAGCGTACAAAGCATTTTAAAGAAACAATTAAATTCGTATTTTTGAATTACCACTTTAGCGGAAAGTAAACTGAAACAAGACGACTGTGTACATGGAATTAGCATTCTGGACCAACTTTTCACCTCAAGTGATAACGAAACGAGGAGAATTAAACAAAACGAGAAAAAGTTGATTGAAGACTTAAAAGAGCAAATACGAACGCGGACAGCAGAGGTTTATTCAACGGATTGGGGCAGCGCGGCAGGCGATTTCACGCGGCAATATCGACCACCACCAGAGGGAAGCCAGTATGAGTATTTGAATCCTTGGAGAAAATCCAACTTGATTAAACAGGACTCCCTATCTTATTGTAACGAAGGCTAATTAAAATTGAATTACTAAAAATAAATTATTAAAGTATTCCGGTTTTCTGTGGCCTATTTTGAATCATACTTAAAACTTTTTGTGACATTTGAAATTTACCAGCCAGTAGGTCCCAGAGATTTCTATTAATTAGCCAATTTTTCAATTCTGGCATTAATTTATTTGATTGATTATTTGAAGGTAGCACAAATATACTTGAATTTTTGTAATAAGTAATTAAATGAGATCGAAAATAAATTTTAATGGTTTTCTTTGAACATATACGAATCTTAAAAGCGCCAGACCTAAGACAACTTGTGGTGAGTAATTTCTCTTCTAAAATGCGAATGGAAATGCAGTCATATTGTTTTACTTGAAACTCAAACATCCTCAATACGTATAAACTGATCTACTTAGGATCATTTCAGATTGTGAGATTTATTGCGATCGGAGGTGTATAAATTTATTTTATATATTAAGAAAATGGGACAGTTTCTTGCCAACAGCTAGGAGTCGTTTATTTTTCAGAATCTGCAAAATCAAAAGTTCATTTTAAAATAAAGAATTTAACAAAATACATGGATTAAAAATGGCATTAACTTAAGCAGATTTTCCCCTTGAAAATAGAATCTACCATTTCGTATAGTAATACTTAAAATGTAATGAACTCTATTTTCTTATTACAAATATCCAACTACTATTAGAATGCAAGTAGAACATTATCTTTGCTTACAGAGGTAGTATTTTATTTATTTCAAATGGCAGGCTTTATGATATTTATCATTAGCCCTTAATCTTTGACTTCAGCTTCCCCCAGAGTGGGGGGGGGGTACATTTATAGCAGTTAATTAATCTTACAGAGGTAGTTTTAGAATTAATCGGATCACCACCCAACTGAATATGTGGAGTGCGCAACACTGTCATGGCTGTACGAGGAAATCTCATATGCACTCAGACAGACTCTAAGGTGTGGTCGTGAGTGCAGAGACCTGTAGCGGATTGCTACGCTAGTAAAGCCTGACCGACTCAGAAATCGCTATGGCAGATTCCCCAACATCTAGCTAGACTCCCAGAACCAGCTAAGACATAGCCCAGCTATAAAGGAAACAGACGTGTAGCAAGGAGCACGTTTATTCAGGACGTATATTGTGGATAAAGAGTACACGCATGGAGCTACTCATGATCAAGATGGC